TTTGTTAAGAATTTTTTCATCTATATTCAAAAGGGATGTTGGTCTGTTTTCATTTTTTGTGATGTCTTTGGCTTTGACATCAGGTAATATTGGCTTTATAGAATGAAATTAGGAAGCATTCCTTCCTCCTCTATGTTTTTAAGGCTTTGAGAAGGGTATGTGTTAATTTTTCTTTAAATATTTAATAGAATTCACCAGTGAAGCCTGAACTTTTCTTCGTTGAAAGTTTTTTGATGACTGATTCAATGTATTTACTTGTTACAGGTTTACTCAAATTTTCATTTCTTTGTGAGTCAGTTTTGGCAGTTTGTGTGTTTCTAGGTGTTTGTCCATTTCATCTAGGTTATCTAATTTTGGCCATACACCTGTTAATAGTAATGTCTTAATAATTCTCATTTTTGTAAAGTCAGTATTAATGTCCCCACTTTTATTTTTTATTTTAATAATTTGATTCTTCTTTTTCTTGGTCACTCTAGTTATAAACCAAAAACTCATTACTGTTGAGTTGATTCTGACTTACAGCAACCCTATAGCTATAGGTTTTGTCAATTTTTGTTTTTATCTTTTCAAAGAACAAACTTTGATTCCATTGTTTTTCTATTCTGTATTTCATTTATCTCTGCTCTAATATTCATTATTTTCTTTGTGTTACTTGCTTTGGGCTTAGTTTACTCCTCTTTTTCTAGTTCCTTAAGGTGAAAAATTATGTTATTAATTTAATATCTTTCTTCTCTCTTTATATTGTCATTTACAGCTATAAATTTCACTCTGAGCACTCCTTTACTGTATCCCATAAGTTTTTATATGTTATTGCTTTTGTTTTCATTCATATTATTTTCTGATTTCCCTCTGATTTCTTCTTTGACTTTTTAAAAATTAAATATCATGAGTTAATTTAGTTGTTGCCTAATTCTGAATCCTCTTAAGTTAAAAAGAAATGTTATAATTAACTTTTAACATTAGTGCATTAAAACCTTCCAGAAAGCATGAATTCAAAAGAAAATGCCCAACTGGTAATATAAGCCAGATATTTTATGATCTTTTCTGTTTTGTTCTCAAGCATTCTAAATATAATTAAGAAAAAAATTCTGTAGAGTTTTTCAGTTTTATTCTACTAGAGCACAATTTTCTGGCCTGTTACTCAGTATGGCCTTCTAACAGGTACACGATTAACTCATAAGTAGACAACACACTGGCAGTTTTCATTCATATCAAACTGTTTTCTAATTTCCCTTATTTCTTCTTTAGACTTGTTGGCTGCTTAAGAATGTGCTGTTTAATTTCTATATATTTGTGAATTTTTATCAAATTTACTTCTCATTAATTCCTAATTTTATTTCATATGGTTAGAGAACATTCTTTGTGTGATTTTAATCTCTTTAAATTTTTTAAGACTTGATTTGTAACCTAACATATGGTCTGTCTTGGTGAATGTCCCATGTGTACGTGAGAAGAATGTGTAATTTGCTGTTGGCTGGAGTATTCTGTAAATATCTGTTGCCTAATTGGTTTATAGTGTTGTTCAAGTCTTCTTTTTGCTTGCTGATTTTCCAATTGTTCTATCCATTATTGAATGTGGAGTGTTGAAGTTACCAACTATTATTGTTGAACTCTATTTCTCCCTTAAATTCTGTCAGTTTTTGCTTCATATATTTTGGGGTTCTGTTGTTAAGTGCTTGTGTGTTTATTATTATTATTACTATTGTTATCTCTTGATGGATTGACCTTTTTATCGTTATATGCTGTTCTTTTTACGTGCTTTGGTGTTATACCTAAGAATCCATTTGAAATCTAAATTCATGTAAGTTTACTCCTACTGGTTAGTGTAAGGAAGCCTAGCATACCAACTTTTGTGTTAAGGCCTATTATGTTTGATAGTAGTATTGCCATCCCAGTTCTCTTTTAAGTACTGTTTGCATAGTATGTCTTTTTTCATCCTTTCACTTTCAATCTGTTTGTGTCTTTGGATTTAAAGTGAGTTTCATGTAGACAGCATGTAGCTGGGTCATGTTATTTTTATCCATTTTGTTGATTTCTGCCTTTTAATTGGAGAGTTTAATCTATTTACATTTAAAGTTAATTGTTGATAAGGAAGGACTTCTGCCATTTCGTTGTTTTCTGTATGTCAAGTCTTTTTTGTTCTTCAGTTTCTCCATTACTGCCGTCTTTTATTTTTATTTATTTATTTATTTTTTTGTACTTTAGATGAAGGTTTACAGAACGAATAGTTTCTCATTAAACACATATTGTTTTATGACATTGGTTAAAAACCCCACGACAAGTCAACACTCTCCTTTCTTGACCTTGGAGGACTTTTTTTTTTTTTGGTGAAAATATTCATAGTCAAAGATACACCGTTTCAAAAATTTCTACATGTATAATTCAGTGACATTGATTACATTCTTCCAGTTGTAGATATGTATTTTTTAAGTACTACTTTGATTTCCTTTTGTTTCTTTTACCATATAAATTTTGGTTATTTTCTTAGTGGTTGCCCTATGGATTATAATTAATATCTTAATTTATAACAGTCTAGTTTGGATTAGTACTTAGTTTCAAAGAGTATATAAAAAGTTTGCTAATATACAGTTCTATCCCTTTCCTCTTTTATGCTGTTACTATGACAGATTACATCTTTATAAATTGTGTGCCTATACGACATAGATGTGTAATTATTGTTTTATACGAGACCAACCAGCCAGTTGCCATCAAGTTGATTGAGACTCATGGTAATCTTATGTGTGTCATAGTAGAACTGTGCTCCGTAGGATTTTCAGTGGCTTATTTTTTAGAAGTAGATCACCAGGCCTTTCTTCTGAGGTAACTTTGGGTGGACTCAAACCTCTAATCTTTCTGTTAGCAGCTGAATGCATTAACCATTTGCACCACCCAAGGACTCCTCTGTCCACTCTAGCTGGAACTTATTGGTGAAATACACCTACTGGAAGGATTCTCAAGAGGAAAATAGTCAGGCACTGTTTGTGTGTAGCCCGAGAGGCCAGTTTCTTAGTCAGGAGAGAGCTGTCTGTCTGTATCTGCAGCTGGGGGAAAAATAACATTAAGTTGGGAAACTGCATCCTGAAGCACAATGATCTGGGGGACTGAGGAAAGGGATGTTGGGTGAATGGTGGAGAGAAGATGGGGCAAGATGGTGGGAAATTAGACTAAAAAGGTTGGAAAGGTGAGATGATGAAGGCATTTGGGAGCTACTGAAGGGTTTAAGCAGGAGAGCCATCAGGTTACATTTGCATTAGGGGTAAATACTCTGGCAGAAAAATGGGACCAGGACGGCAAGACTGAAAGCAGGGAAATGTTAGGTGACTATTAGTTTTTTTTTCTCCAGTAGATCATAGATGCTGCATATGAGCATATATTAATTTTGTCACAGAAGAAAATACATAGACTGTTATTGTTTAATATATCTACTTACACTGGTTAGTGTAAGGAAGTCTAGCATACCAACCTTTTCTAACCTCCTTACTTAACTTGGAATACTTTTCTCTATGATGTAGTCCCAATTTAATAAAATCGAAAATTAAATACACAGTTGGAAATGGTTATTCATTTGACACTTGACCTCTTTACTCAACTAAAGAATACATCATAGATTTCCATTAAATAATCACCCTTTCCTATCATGTTACATATAGCTTAATGTACAAAAATATATTTTATGTATAATTTTTAGAGAACGTTAATTTTATCAAGCAAATTAAAATGAAAAATATAAACACATACCCTGCATAACTTACACTGCTAATTTTATAGCTCTTCACCCCTCCACAAGTCATAAAGATATTCACACTTAGGTAGAAACTTTTAAGTAGAGCAATAGCCTAGAGCAACAAGCCCCGGAAAACTGGTAATGAATATAACAGTTTATAAAGGAAAGCTTGACAGACTAATTATAGTGTCACTTTGTCTGTCTCCCAACTCTTTTTCTTTAACAGCTCTTTAGTCCCAGGTACACAGTTTTTATTTTTGTTTTGTTTTGTAGTCCTTTGAGGCTTTTAGTAGTTTTAGGAAATTAATTGGACAAATATTCAGTTATAAAGCAAGAGATAAAATTTAATAAGCAACTTAACTATCATTTGTCCCCAACATGAAAGTGTTAGTTATTGTAGTTTAAACTTAGTAGAGAGTAAGTTTTAAACCCCAGCTTAACAGTGTGTTCTTTGTTATTGTCAGTTATTGTCTACTGGCTATTTAGGATCATGTTCTCTGGTTTTAGCCTTAGCTGTGCACACAAGATTATATAAAATGTAATTTTAACATCCACTTAACCTAAAGTACTCTTCATGAGCTATAGTGACCTTTTAAATATATTTAAACTATATTAGAGTCAGCATGGACTCCATGGCAGCTAACAACGGTAATAAATAGTAGGCAAATTTATTTCTGCAAACTAGACTAGGGAAACTGGACAACATTGAAAACACCCTTTAAGAGTCTGAAAACATGTCAAGTACAATGTATGTAACTATCTAATTATAGTTATTTTGGATAAATTCAAACTTAACTGTCTTCAGATAGGCATGCTTTTGACATGTGAAATTGAGATTCTATAGCCTGAAGAAACCACATATGGTAAGCCTGGGATTCAGAAATTGGCTTTAAGATTCTCAAATAAAGACCTTCTTTGAAGACACACAGATATATTAATTTTTAATTTGTTTCTTTTTGATCTCTTAATTACCAAAAAAGATTTATTGGTTAATTTTAGGAAGGCAAGTGTTTGAAAAGTTTTGGCAAATGCTGTCTTCTTTAAATGACTGCGTGGTAATGAAAAGTTAAGAGGAGAGCCAAATTAGATTGAATAATTGTTCAGTCATGTGGGTCAGGCTAGTTGCATAGCCTAGTTGTTAGACTGATTGCTCAAATTACATTGCCTCGGGTCCTGCACTTGGTTGGCTGTCTTCTCAGACCTTAACAAGGTTCTGGGAATTTCTTTTTCTGACAAAGTTTGCTTTGTGTTTGTCCCCTCCCCCCACTACTTCCAGGATGCTTCATCTGCAGACATCAGAAAAGCATATCGTAAGCTTTCACTGACTTTACATCCAGATAAGAATAGAGATGAAAATGCAGAAACTCAATTTAGACAAGTAAGTGAAATATGCTGTTATTATATATGTTTTGTGACAAATGCAGAAGTAAATATGTTATGGTAGAAATATGTAGAATATTTCCATTTGAAAATGAAGTAATAGTTTTAAAACATGGAAAGTATATATTTTTATTCAATTTCCTACTAATAAATTTTCACCAGCATTTTTTTAAATTAGAATATTATATAGGATTTTGTGCATGTTACTCCTAAGTAATTTCTTATATTTGAGAGTATTTTTATTTTAAAGTAATGCTTCTGTTTTAGCTGGTGGCCATTTATGAAGTTTTAAAAGATGATGAACGGAGGCAGAGGTGAGTGTTCGTTACTGCTTTTAAATTAAAATGTAGTTTCATGCATCAATTTTTAAAGGAAAGAATTAAGAGTCTTATTAAACATTTTATTTATTATAAGTTAGTATTTATTTTTGTTAATTCCAACAAGTGTAATGTTTTTAAAACCTGTGTTTAGAGCAGAGTTAATTTCTATTGAAAATATTCACTGGATTGATTCAGTACTTAGAGGCTTCTGGATCATGAGTCAAAGCCAGCAAGTCATGGCTTCATTAGATAAGATTTTTAACTTGGGTGTCTATACCCTGTGAAATACAAATGCAACTTGACTTCAAACAAATGCCCATTCGTTTTCAACGTATCGGTGAAAGCTGCTGCTTGAGCTTGGTGGGGTTTTTTGTTATTTTTCCTATTCCTTAAATGTTTTGTGATTAGGTAGTTAGTGATATTCAAGTTAGTGCTTTTTCTTGATGTTTCCTCACTCTCAAAATAATAAACCAGTTTGAGAGTGAGAGAACAGACTTGTATAAATTTGAGAAGATAGGAGTGGAAGAAATATATTTGCTTCTTTCTCCTATTTCTTTTGCCTTCCTTCCTTTCCTTACTCTCCTCCAGTGATTCTGTGCTTAGAGTTAAACTTTAGAGTAGAAGTGGCCCTCTCACTCTGAGACTTCTCTGTGCCCCTTTCAGAAGAGTGGTAATATATTGATAAAGTGGTTTATAGTGCCAGTGACTTAAGAGATTGCAGAGAGGCCCCTTTCCTTTACTCATACTGATGTGTGAAATGTAGACACTATTGCGGAGGGCTTCGGAGTTTTTTAAACTCAGACCCATGGTAAGAAGTACATTTTGCGTTATGCCTCAGGATACACACACTATACACACACACACACACACACACACACAGATTAATATTTTCTATTCTAAGCTAGTCTAGTCTTTTTTTTTTTAACAGTGCTGGTTGTGATCCACTAAAATGATTTCATGAGACACTAGTGGCCCATAATCCTCAGTTTGAAATATGTCGCCCTACAGTAGTAGAGTACCTTTTTTTAAAAAAAAATTAGGGATTTGAGATTTTAGGCTAAAGCCAGACTAAAAATCGCTCTCTCTCTCTGTGGGCTAATACATTTTAAAGACAAACCCCCCAAAATGATGCTATGTGGCATTCTGAATCTTTCTTCAAAAGCATTATCTGGAATTATTCTATATCCTAAAACATTAGCTACCACTCTTGGTTTTCATTTTAACTATTTAATTTGAATACCTCAGTTTGTCAGATTGTATAAAAAGGATTCAAGGTATTCTCTTGAAGTGTTCTTTTCTTTCTAACAAGGGCTGGCATTATTAGTCCAGATACCATAGCAGACATTCCTCTGGTTTGAGATAACCCATAGCGCTGAAAGAATCCTAGAAGTGTGTTGAAAGAAGTGTTGGTCATTCTGTGCGTATTTTCTAGTTGGTTTCTCTCAGTGAGCACCTAGTTTTGTTTCACAAATCAGGAAGGTGTCTGTAAAGATAACTTTATTTACTCTCCCAACATCTTTGGCATCAGATTTTCTCCTTTTTTTGTTTATTTTGAAAGTCAGTAAACTTTGTAACAATTTCTTTCATTAGTTTCTTTTTATTACTAAAATAATTATATATATAAAATGTTTCTTCATTAGCATAGACTTATCTAACATATTTTAGGATTAGTTCCCTTTGCATTTATTTTAGACACTTGGTAAAAAAAAAATGGTTCTGACAGTTAAGCAAACAGCTGTAGTATTTATACCCCTGGAGGCACAAGTAACTCATTGGTAACCAGTTTTCCTTGAGGCAAAAGTCGTAACTAATCAAGCTGAGAATCACTTCTCCAAAGCATGTGCCTGAGGCCTGTGGACCTATGAGTATTTAAACATACAGGAAAACTCACTTCTGCAGACAATTACCTATTATTTATAATGCCTTTAAAATTTTAAAAAAAAAAGAGCATATGGTCAGTTTTATCTTCTGAAAGAAGATCATCTCTTACTGGTATTAAAAAAATGCTCCTTAGTGTCACAATTATTTAATTGTTATAAATATTTATAAAAAATCCTTTTAAATGTGTTTCAGTAATTTACAATTTGGAAAGTTATCATAGACATATTTTCCTATTTATTTCCTTATATGATTGTGTTTACACTGAAATCAGATGTGTTCTGTAAATTTTGGTTGAAAAGGAAATAGATAAACCAATAAACCAGATAACTTTTTAACAACCTTTTTTAGGTATAATTTGCATTCCATGTGAGTCATCTGTTTTAAGTATACAATTTAATGATTTTTAATAACTGACAGTGTTATGCAGCCATCACCTTGATCCAGTTTAAGAATATTTTTATTGCCTTAAAAATTTCCTTGAGCCCATTTGCAGGCAATCCCCACTCTAACCCCCCAGCCCCAGGCAACCGCTGATTTGTTTTCTGTCTCAGTAAATTTCTTATCTGGACATCTTTACATCTGTCTTCTTTCTCTTTGCATTATGTTTTTGAGGTTCATCCATGTTGTAGCACATACCAATATTTCGTTCTTTTGTATTGCTGACTAATATTCCATTGTATGAATATACTACTTTTTGTTTATCCATTCACCAGTTCATAGACATTTGAGTTGTTTTACTTTTTGGCTATGATGAATAATGTTGCTGTGAATATTCACATGCAGTTCTTTGTGTGGACATATGTTTCCATTTCACATGAATAGATCCTAGAAGTGCAATTGTGAATAAACTGTTTAAACCCTCCCCTCCCCACCACCACCAAACGCATAGACTATATATAGCATAAAAATATACAGATTTTCCTGGTTAGTGTAAGGAAGCCTCACATACCAACCTTTTCTAACCTCCTTACTTAACTTGCTTATGGGGAACAACAGCCCATCTGTGTTCTTACATAAATTTCTATACAGGTACCCTGAGTGTTAGCCACAATAAAGTACTGAGTAGATATTAATCATTACGGATATACACTACATGGTGGTTTATTGATAATAACATATTTGCTTTTATTTTAAAATCTGTCTTACAAATTTTTAATCAGTTTTCTTTTGCTGTGCAATTTTAAATTTATTTATTTTATGTTGCTATATTTGTAAAAGATGAATGTATATTTCAATTTACTAAATAAAATCATGTTTTATTTACAAATATAGGTAAAATTATCTCAGCCTTTATGTGTTAAACTTTTACAAATTCATCAACTGGTTATTCAAATTAGATTACAGATATGTTTGAATCAAAATAAACATTAATCTAAGAATAAATCTATTTTATTATTTTTTCTTCCCTAATTAGGAGATATAATACATCTATTATGTACAATGTGTAAAGTGCTCTGTACCACAGCTTTTGGCAGAGACAGCGATCAATTAACCTAGACTTACTTCCTGCTTCAAAATGTGACCTAAATGGAAGTCATGTTGTTATTATTGTTTAAACTAAAAATTCAAGCTTTCTATGATGGGAAATTTGCAATTTAGGTAAATGCTAGAGTTATTTCAATACTTATTTTCATAAGACAAATTTTTTATTTTAGTTATATAATTACTATTTTATATTTCAAAATATGCTGTTTTAAGTTTCCATAATTTTTTTCCTACTGGTAAATAAAATTTTCTTTTATTTGTTTTCCAGTTTTTGTTAGACTAGATATATTTGGTGAATTATAGATTACAGTATAAAACTCACTAATGATTATGAGACCGTTTTTTTATATTCATCCTGTATATTTGAAGAAAATCAAATGAAATAAACACACCATATGTTGAATGTGTGGAATTAATTTATGTTTTAATTTCCAAGATATTGTCTTATAAGCCTATGATTTTTTACACTAGTGATGTGTTTATCATAGAGATTTACTTATGTGTATTTTTGTAACACATTCATACACACATACATTCTTAATCTGGTTTTAATAAGTAGTTAAGACCAGTTTGTATAACTCAATTACAGAACATTTTAACAGGGTTATGTGTTTAAATATGGAGCCTTGGTGGTGCAGCAGTTAAGAGCTTGGCTGCTAACCAGAAGATGGGCAGTTCGAATTTACCAGTCACTCCTTGGAAACCCTATGGGGAAGTTCTTCTCTGTCCTATAGGGTCACTATAAGTTGGAATCAACTTGATGGTGACAGGTTTTTTCATATATAAATATAGAAAAATAATGTTTTAAATTTTATATATTGTCAATACTGTATTTTTTTTCTTAAGTAACTTATGAAAATAGTATCTGTGTGTTTTTTAAGAAATTTCTTTATTTTTTCAGTTTTTCTTCAGGAAAGCAGTAATTTGTCTTTTAACAGCATGTACTCTAAAAAGTGAGCTGTAATAGAAGCTGTCTTCCCTTAAAATGGCTAGTAGTGTGAGCCGTAATGTTCATTGATAATAAAGTCAATACAGCATTGATTCTAAGCTTAATCCTTGGAGACTGTTGTTTAGAGTGGCATACATAACCTAGTAAATATCTTGTTCTATTTAATGTGTTCAGTGCATGAGGTTTTGCTGTCTTGAATTTGGTTGTGCAGGAAATACAGTTTGTATATGAGGTAGAAAATAGTAGCTTTTAATAGATATATAGCATTTTCAGCAATGATGATAAAATATTTGATCTGAGATTGTTAGCTGTGAGTTCAGCTATGTTTTCTTCCAGTACAGTTTAGAGCTAATGCAAATTTAATGCTTCATAATGCTATTAGGGAATTGTTGCCACTTTCTTAAATGTTCTTTATTAATAACCATACATTTTACATGAAGTTATTACATGGGAGAGATTTGCTGGAAATGTTTTTTGTGTTCACCTTTTTTTAAAAATCAACAAATTTGAAGTAGATTATGAATTTAGGATAAATTCAAGACTTAAGTTTGATTGGACTTCATTCAGATGTTTTAATATTGTGTTACACTACTTTTTACCAATCCATTTCTAATTTAAAATGAGTTCATTTTTACAAGATAGATTTAAACATAAATTTTTGAGGATAGGAATGGTAGCTTTTGATAAAATCATATTATTGTATCTTGGTATTAATATTTAAGAATTTCCATAATATTAAAAAGGGAAAATATTTAACATCAAATATTGTCCATCTACTGCATAACCATATTTTAATTTGTAGACTCGTGTACATTACACAGTTTGCCATTTTACAATTCTAGTACAAATTAATACCCTTTGCTTTGAACATTGATTATTATGATTTGATACCATTATCAATAACTTAAGTTGACCTAAAGGTCAGATTTTCTAGATTTGTTAAGAAAATATATTTTACATTTATAACCAATATTTTTCTATAGAGAAAAAAAAGTTGCCTGTAATAAACCCTCTATTTTTATTCAGCATGTCTCCAAGGTATCAATTTAATAACTACCAAAGTAGCTACTGCAGTTGTTGCATTTATATTGATTTACATGTCAAGACTGGCAGTTTAGCAGCTGTGCTATTATTCCTAGATTGGTCAATTTACTTGAGAAAAACCTACTACTGAGTTCTGCTGACCTGCCTGACAATATAGGCCCTATTTCTATTCCTGTAATTAGGCCTACAACTAACTCAGAATATTTTTAATTAAAATATTTTGGTCAATGTGTTGCACCAAATTAGGCCTTTCAGTGTAGATTTAATTCTGGAATTAGTGTGATTAGAATATTTAATGAGTTGTGTTCAATTAAGATTAACAGGTTATATGTGCTGAACATACAGTATTTGTGTGTGACCATTTTGAATTTTACCTCAAGTGTTTCTCCTTATTTTTAATGTTAGAAGTAGTTGCCTCCATAACTGTCTGGAAGGTAAATTTTATTTCAGTTGAAATTTTATTCTAAGGTAAATTTTTTTAGCCTAGTAGTAGCAAGAAAGCTGGTTTAAAATGCATTACTAGGAAAGCATATACTTGTTACATTCTCCTCTTCCAGAAAAAGCCAAAAATGAGGAAATTGCCATTTAAATGTTTACAAATAAACAGTTTTATTGAGCTATCTGGCATAAACATTTGTTGTCTCTACCTCTCTTTCTAATTTGGTAATTATTTTATTTTCTAAAGGAATATGAGCAATACAAAATTAAAAGGTGCTCATTTTATAGGCTTTTACCTCATTAAAAAGCTTTTATAAAATAATATGTATAACTATTTCAACCTCGAACCGTTTTATGGGGACAGAAATAAAAGCACTGACTAGAAAATTTATCCTGCATTTGTGATTCAATTAATATGTAATTCATGGTAACAAATGGAACTCTTATCTTCATTTTTTTTCCATTGAAATCCTTCCTTTTGTTGCTGACTTCTATGACGGTGTCTTTACACTGTGACAGATAAGAATACATGACTCCTTTAGTTTAGATGTCATTCCAGGAGTTACCTCATTGGGGTTCTGTAAAAACACAAGGTCTGGTACTCACAGTAGATTACTGTGTACTTTGAAGATTATCTGTCACTGGATCTATATACAGTGTTCCAAATTTACTAGACATTGTAATGTAGGTAATCTATATAAATATTAGGTGTTTTGGAGAAATTCTTTTCAGTTTCCTCTTTTTAAATATAGGAGAAATAATTTTTTGTTTGTTTTTATTTTAAACTCCCTATGAAAAACTGTTATATTTGCTACTGTAGGTATGATGATATTCTGATCAATGGACTTCCAGATTGGCGACAGCCTGTATTCTACTACCGGCGGGTGAGAAAAATGAGCAATGCTGAGCTGGCATTACTCTTGTTCATTATTCTCACAGTAGGTCATTATGCTGTGGTTTGGTCAATCTACCTGGAAAAACAACTGGTAAGTATTGGTAATAAATCAAATGATCTACTATCCTTAATTTTATATGAAATTTCAGGCATTTCTTTTTCAACCTATAAATTTTTCAATATTTCTATATGAACTCCTCTTTCTAATAATTTGTGTTCAATATTTAGTCTTGGATATATTTCTAAGTAAAGAGGAACTCATGAAATAAGAAGAAAATAACCTTCTTTTTAAAAATGTGGCATTTGAATCTGTTATAAAACTTTGTGAAGGCCCAAATATCTAGCTGAAAATTAGAAGGTAGGAGCCATGTTTTCTTAATTTTCACCTTTCAAATAGAAAAAAAATTTTTAATGTAAGAATAATTTTAGAAATTTTTATGTCACAGGTCCTTATATAATGAATGTTTACTTTAAAAATAAGATTTCAAATGAGTATTATAATTTCAGATGCGTTGGTTAAAATTTTTGTATACATTCCTTAATCTAATACACTGCTCTGTAGTTTATTATGCTGTGGATTCTTGTTTATACATTAAAGATAATCAAACGTCAGTATTCATGAATTAGTACCTGTTTACCCTTTCTTTTTGAAGTGACATTATGAAAGTTGAATGAATGAGAAAAAGTAAGTTGAATGCTTTCTCTGCTTAGAGAACTTTGATTGCTATGGAGATACATCTGACTGACAATGCTGAACTTCATGTGTGTTTAAGGACTGGATACCATGGCAACAGTTATTGTTAAAGATTGATGATTTTATTTAATCATATTGGACCCTACATACATTTGCGTAAATGTTCCTCTGTAATGTTTGCCCTTCACAGAAGAGTCTTGATAACATTTGAAGAGTACATATTAATGATAATCTGTAACCATAAGTCTTTCTGCATTAAGGATGAACTGCTTAGTAGAAAAAAGAGAGAAAAGAAAAAAAAGACAGGCGGGAAGAGTGTGGATGCATCAAAACTTGGTGCTTCAGAAAAAAATGAAAGGTGGGAGTATATAAAAATATTTTATAATTTGAAACTGTTTAAAAATATATTTTTGCTCTATATTCATTTCAGATATGCTAACGTTTACATTTGTAGTAGGTTTATAAAAGACTAATAATGTGCCATAGTTTATTAAACAAACTAATCTTAAGCAAAAATTAACAGGTTTATCCCCTTGTAAAGTCTTAATGTATATTTAAATAATATAAACCCCAAACTTGTGGAGTTTGAAATTTTTATAATGAACTTTAAAAACAAAATATTAATGGAAGAATCTGTCACTTTGAAGGTGTTTAGCTCAGAAGTGACAATATGTAGAGGCGCAGTAATATGCAGTACATATACTCTAAAAGATACCACCATTTCTTCTATTGATTCATAGAAAGAAGTAAAAGGTTTAAATAGTTCACACAGCAGGGCATGAACTGGATCAAAGTGAGATGGAGATCAGAGATTTTTCTGATGACATCAGTGAGTAATGATTCAGTGAAGTGCAAATGACATTAATTTTTATGTATTGGTTTGTTTATGCTACAATCCTCATATCTGGTTGTCACATTTTAGAATGATGATAGTCTTTTATAGCTGAAATAATCATAAGATTTTAAGAAATTCATTTTGCAGAAGTGATGAAAAGTCCAGGTTAGAAAGAGGATTTTTGTTTTTTATGTTTATAATTTGATTAGGAGCCTCTTTCCCTAAAACCGTAGCCTACATTCTTTTACTTGCTGTATATATTGCATTTTTAAATTTCTATATTTTATGATATAGAATAACAGATTAAGTGATAACTGTCGTCAGTATTTTATTAAACAGTTTCTTCATTTTTTGTTGAAATAGGAATTAGAAAAAAGAATTTATGATCTTTATAAAAAAAATTTGTCTCCCAACTTTCTGTATATATTTTGCTATTTTAAAGTTTCCCATTTTTTCTTTAGATTGCTGACAAAACCACAATGGCATGATTTGCTTCCATGCAAGCTGGGAATTTGGTTCTGCCTTACCCTAAAAGCATTGCCTCATTTAATCCAGGTAAAATATACTTCTTTCATTTAATATTAGATGCTTTCATTTTAATTATTCGCGTGATAATTTATGCCCAGCGTCTGCTGTCTGAATACTGATATGCAGTGGTTGCTTCAAAATGTTGATTGAATTGAGTAGTATCTATATAAATGTAAACCTAATTTAGAATAGTTCTAAAATTATTTAGGTATCTATACCTATGACTTTCTCTTATATTGCTTATAGAACACCTTAAAGACACTGAAAAAGGAAAAACAATACCATCTTTAGGACAGACATAAAAGCAATAAAAATTTAATCCACTGTTATCATTTAAGGCATGTCCAGTAAAATGAACACGACTCAAGTAGCTGGTCTCCCATTATTTTAATACATAGTATAAAACTTTACATGAATATCTGTTCATTTATTCAGAAATATATGTTGCTTTCCATTTTATTTGAAAATTTAAATGACATAAAGTATATTTTTATCTTATATTGGTAATCCAAGTTTCTGTTTCTACTTAGTCTTGATGATCAAACAACTAAATATGGCAATTTTTCTAATTTTTTTACATTTAGCACATTAAAGTGTATTTTATTAAATTATAGCTTTGATCATGTTAATTATTGTATCTGATTAGAAAGTTCCCAACTCATAAACATATTTAAAAGTATATATAACACTTTCTGGTGTACAAAATTTGAGTTCCTTTGAGATTGTAATTTTGGGGGAGGGGGAATGCTTCATTTCAGAAAATAGATGTTTCTAAGTTAGAGGGCCAGATAATTTTTACCCAGTTCTACCCACTTTTATATTCATGTATCAGAGCTGTTTTTCCTAATCATTTAAGGAAGTGAATGAGTTCAACTTCTGCATGTTGTTCTCCTTTCTTTTCATAATGAACATTTTATATTTCAAGGGAAAATGAACTAAATGTCAGTGGTGTGCTTCTTTTTGACCTTTAAGAAATGATCAGTTCTTTCATCAAAATGGTTAACCATAATAGTTATTGCTTACAGAGTCTTGTATATTATTTGCAGGTAATAAAGATTGAAGTATTTGGGTAATTTAAAAGCTTTTGTTTTTAAGTTGTTTAGCATGTTTATTTGAATAAACACAATGCTGTGTGCTATGTCTGTAAGACTTAGTAAGCAAGAGGGAAAGTATATTTATCATACTCATATGTTTATGAGATGATATGATAGAAAGATATTTCAGGGCAGATTTTGTTACATTTAAGTCTGGTTATTTCTTGCCAGCTTTAGAATCTGTGGTAGGTAAAGCAGAGTATAGATGATTTAACAAATGTAGTCATGAGGCAGTATAAATAGAGTATCATATAACATGTCAATGTTAAATGCTTCTTTATAATTTTAATGTGAGTACTTTGAAGTAAAGTTTATTTGGGAAAATTAACATTTTTCTTGGTTAGTATTGCAGGCTAACATGTGAAAATAGAACCAATATTTTATGATGGTTTAAATTTATAATTTATTGTTCTAAATTATCTCCCTGTGATATTTAAACCCAACAGATTGATTGTTTTGCCTCATCATAAATTTGTAGAAAATATTTAAAAACAGAATTTTATTAAAAACTCTTTTTAGTCTCTTTAGAAACTGTACTTTCTTAAACTGTTTGAGCAGTTTACTTTTTGAAGTTTTTACTTCAGGGTACCTGTTGCCTTTCAGTTTTGAGATGCTAGGCATTAGGTGTTACAAGTTAAATTTTATAAATCTTTATAAATCTAATTTTTAAATTTTGTTTTAATTATTTTTTGACAAATGTATTCATAGAAGAAAAATAAAATGATTTTCCTTTTGTAAAGCAAGTACTTGATATTTTAATCTTGCTTTAGGGACATAAAATTAGTTTTTCTGGTGTTCACTCAGAAAATAATGTAATGGATAGTAATGGACGTTTTCTGACACAGATGGTAATAGTGAAAGTATTTTTGATTGATAAACCTATACCTTTTCAAAGCCATCAACAAAACAATGCTGGATAGTTGCTGTTAGGATTAGATTTTTGTCTGCTTTTTCTTAAGTCTGCAGTGGCTTTTGTATTAATTGAGTTCTATGGGATCTTCTTAAATAAGATATTCGTGAAATATAGAAGAAGCCTTCTTAACCTGAAGCAATCTGGATTGGTAATTTGTAAATTTGTAAATTTGTAAAATTTGTAAAGCTCTAAGTATAAAAAATGATACAACCTTAAGCATTTAAAGCAGCTACTTCGTATTTATTTACCACTCTTGTGATACAGGGCCAAAGTTTTGTTTTAAAATAGGAGTCCATTGATTAGAGTTAGTTATCTGTCTTGGTTTCTTTAAAGACATATTTGCAGTCTTACTTTCTTTAAAGAAGAAATCAAACTTGATTCTTGGGAAGCAATATATAAGTGTATAATCCCTAGTAGTTTTTTATGATTTCTCCCCAGTCTTTGATAATTAACTCACATCTAGTAAACACCATTTTTAGCAGCTCTTTTACTGAGCTTTCCGAAGCATTCAACTTGGTTTTCATAGAAACAACTCTCATTTTCTATTCACATTTCATCTTTTTTATATAATATTTAGTTGACCCATGTAATTACAGTCACAAGTATCACTGACATAAACAGGGTTAAGAGCTAACACAGTCAACTCTTGATAAGCATACAGCAAGTTAGTTCAGCAGACATCAGCTAAGAGGGTTTTACTTCTGTGTATGAACCCCCCTGAATTTCATGGAAAGTTCATGTAAAACTGAGCTGCAAATATTTTTTGTCAGTATGTAGCTATTGGATAAGAAACAGGGTTCAAACTAAAAGTAGGAGGATCAGAGATTTCCAGCAAGTGACCTTTATACTGGCATAATCTGTACCCAAATCTTGTCATTCTCATACCAACAACTCTTTCCTCCCCACCTTCTTCCCTTTCTATTCTTCCTATAAATACTGTTTCCTTTACTCAGCTTCACACACATATATGGTTATCTAGTAGGGTTGGGAGAAGTGGCAGTTCTGACTTAGCTTATGCGCCGAAGTTCACTATTTATTGCTTAGCATCTAAGATCCCTAAGAAAACTCTATTGCTTGCTTAGCCTATCTAAATTCTTTTCTATCCTCTCTGCTAAATCACAGATGAGAATAGTTATATCAATATTTGATGTATAAGTCTTCTGGTCATATGTTTAGAAAAACAGTTCTATGAGTTCAATAAAAATTTATTAAACACATGATCAGTACAAGGCAGTACTGGCTTAGAGGTGACTGTGCCTTCTAGAACCTCATAGTCAGGTAGAGGTTATAACATGAATTAAAATAATTGTGATACAATGTGGTATATAAGCCTCACATGTGTAGCATAAAAAATGACTTCTGAAGATGTCCAGAAAAGTAAGATTGTCTCTCTTTAGGATGACCAAGGAAGACTAACACGAGGAGCCACTTGAACTGGGTCTTGAAAGATGAATAGACACTTAACATTAACAGTTAAGTGCCCACTTTGTGTCCTAGGTAGTTTGCAAAGATAATTTTGTAGATACAGTACTTTCCATATAATCATACTGTGTTAAGGCTGAAAAAGATGAGGATCACATTGTAAAACTGCTTTTTTTTTTTTTTTAAAGACAATATCACATAATTCATTACTATCATCTACGATTATATCCCAGGTCTCCAAACTCTGAATATACCCATTTATGAATTTATATTCTACCAGACAAGTCTGCTATGATAAGCCTATAAAGGACATTTAGACAAAAACACAATTAATTAATAGTATAACGAACTATTTTCATCACACGCATTTGTCAAAGATACGTCTGTATTGTGAGGATTGGGAGAGTTAAAATACATAATGGCTGTTAAATGGTCAGAAAATACTCAACAGTAGTTCTATCATCAGGTAAGACAGTTAAAAGTATCACTTTGATAGCTCCCTTTGATTTTTGAGAAGGTCCTTGTTACCTCCATAATGTTGCTTTGAGAAAGATATTGAGACAATTACAAGAAGTGGTACATTTGAAAAAACGAAGTCAAAGAACTAAAAGCTCTTGTACTTGACATTTTAAACATTTAATAATGTTAAATGAATATCATATATTTCTCACATGGGAAAGTATCCTAGGATGAAGATCCATGGATATTGCTATGTTTATAAAAATGTATTATCCGTATCATTCACATACCCACATGGGCAGTAAAAAGTCATAAGGAGAAATTAAAGAAAAGGAATATGGAGAGTGTTTATGAATTGATGCGTAGCTGGAAGGCTAGTGTATACATAAGAGAGATGAGAAAACATTGGCGAGAGTCAAATACATGACTATATGCGTGGAAGCTGGGAGAACTTAAGAAAAGGTGTTTAGGTAGCTAAGAAAGAAAGTGGGATCATTAGCAGGACACATGGAATATGAATTAGAATATAAAAAGGACCTTGGACTATATGAAGAGAGGGGCTGTATGCTTCAGGCTAGAATTTAATTTTAACATTAAAACTGTAGCCCAGTGACACTTTCACATTTTACCAGTCTATTTCTCTTCTTATGGTAGTTTTCAAGACAATACATGTTCTCTTGGATTCTAACTCAACCGGTCATCTGTATTGGCTATATTCATCCTATAACCCTGGACAATTTTTTTAACCTCCAAAATGCCTTTCCTGGATATTTTTAAATTGATCATTTGTTCTGTAACCATAAGGGTAGCAAACAGTTGATGAAACATGATCATTGCCATAGCATATTTTCAGTGTAACCCTTATAACGTTTATTTTTGTCCCTGTTTATTTGTGTTGGAGCCTCAGATATTTGAGCCCATAATAATTTCAATTGTTAAGACTGTCAATTTCTTACATAAAATTAGTAACTGCCAAACTTCCCAGATTATTACCAGTCTGAGTCATAGTTAGTTCATAGTTCTCTACATTTTTTGAGATGAATTCTTAAGTGTTCAGAATTTATTTGCTTGGTAGTTTATATTTGATTTTCTGGGAATTCACCATTTAAGTTTCTCTCTACCTGATATGTTCTGTAATT